GTATCTCACAGCACAATAACATGACAATTGACTGTTACTTTCAGAGGCGTTGAAAACACTTCTGATAATTGGTATTTCACCAGGATACTAATCGTGTAGGTGAGAATACCGAAAAATCTGGGATATACCTAAAGCCATCCAGTAAAAAGCCGCAACACTTACAAAAGATAGGTGGCATATGACAGCTGTACACGACGTGCATCTGAACGCTTGTTCTGTTTTCCGTGCTGATTACTACGACATACTGGCAGGGTTTTCATATGATATATTCTTCTGACGATTTTAATGTCACTGAATGTCCCCACATATCTTCTTTGAATTGTCTCACTTATCTGGCCCCATAATAACCACAGTTAAAGCCATTACAAAGTTCAGACTTCCAGAATACGAAACAAACAACCAAAATCGTTTTGTTTACTTCTGGGATACACTTTTAAATTACAGATGAAGCCACAGAACCTCTCAGTCTAGAGTCAAATGCTGTTTTCAAGCCAAGAAAGACCACCATTGTCGGCTACCGATAAGCATGACTGTGTTCTAAAACCTGACGAGTAGTGGATATATGGTTGATGCAACCATGACCAGGTCTGCAGCCAACCTGATATTCTCGTGTTAGCAGTTTGCGAGTGTTTGTTAGGCGCCCAACAATTGTTGGGGCAATTACTTTAGATGATATATTAGTCAAACAAATCTCTCTTTGGTTGTCACATGATGATTTTGACCTCTTTAAGTCGTGTTACGAACGTTGAATCGGTTTCACTTCCTACCTAGAAATCCTATTACAAGCAAACTAGACAATTCGCTAATATACGAAGCCTAATCAAGACCCTATAATAACTGGGGGAAAATATTTTTAAAAAAAACAAAAGAGGCTCTAATAGCTTCGATATTAAAGGGAAGACAGCCAATTGTATATCACAATACTGTTTCTAGCACTATATTTTATTTTATAATCACACATAATTTTATACTCTCAGCTCTTTTCCGAATCGCCCTCATTTGTCAGTTGTATGTTCACTCACACCTTGTCAACACTTATTTTCTTTAACCTATTAAAATGCTCTTTCTTAACATATACCTTAATAAAGGAAAATTAGACTGAATAATCATACCTTAAGCATTCTTTCATGAATATTGGCTACTCTGCCTCTCGTGTTTTCTTTTACTTGCTCCCTCTTTCAGCCCCCTTGAGATATGGAACTGGTGACTTCATCCTGCACCATCCTTAAAGCCTTGGATATCCCAGAAGGAAATATGGTTGCGATTTTTAGAAGCCCATACCTTCAATGGACCTATCCTTGACCATCAGTCGCACATTCGCAACGCGACTTTCATGAAGCGCGCCAACTGTGGTACTGATTTAAACCATCGACATTCATATCTTATAAATTATCAACCCAACTATGTAATTTATTACAGTGTTTATTGTATCATTTGTATCAATTTGATCTTGCCTGTAAACTGGCATGCCTCATGTAACAAACTGTTATTTGAGAATAAATTATTATTATTATTATTATTATATATTGAAACAATCAGTGATTGTGACCAGACATGTGTGACTACGTTCAATTTCCGCATTTAACCTAAAATATTGGACAACCTCATCACTAAAACTGGACCGTCATGCTAAAATACCTCTGGAGTCAACACATTTGGGTCAGTTACTCTTCGTTAAAGCTCTCCATCGTGTTCTGAGCTTGGTAATATGACTTTACAAGAACCTATCAGTGCATACGACTTAGTGGAAATCCATTCGTTTTTTGTGACTCCTTGGTTCAAATTACTAATAGATGTCACCGCTGTTTTTACAGTTGTTTGTATATTATCCAAGCAACGTCTGCATCAGCTTCGTTTACAAAACTACACAAGTGTAACCCCATTTGTCCTTGAAATCCGCTTTCTCGTCACTAAGTCTGACTTTGATGTGTCTCCTCAATGTGATTTTTCTGTGACCAATGAGGCGCAAGCAAATGAGCACTCGTATTACAGCATGATCAGAGTCTAGATATCTTCTCCAGAACAAGCAACAGTGTACTATCGAGCCTGTCCAACAATGACTGGTGGCAATATAGTCTTTTTGACTCCACCTACAATGTTACTTGGTGGAACATCAAGTGAATATTCAAAGATCTATCAGTCTTGACGAATCTGCATGATACTCAGTGAGATTGTCTGGTATCACGAGACTTTTAGTTAGGGTGATCTACAAATAGCGCACTGCTGACACTGATTACGACAATCACATGTCAAAGGGATTATCATGCACTACACGTCCAGCATACACTAGTATCCTAATTCTAGGGAATCGAAATCTTCATAGAGTCAACTTCACTGACCACACGTACATTGCAGGTGACAACTTCACGGAAGCTCGGTTCTTCAAAGTCACTGAAAATTGAGGACCATTCAACATTATAAATTTAATAACTCAGTGGAAAATCAGTCAGACGCCATCACACGCAGACTCAATATTTACAAACTAATAATTTCTGGTTGAAAGCTCTTCATTTCTGATAACTTTGGGTAAAACTGACCACATCACCGTAGATTTCAATGTCAGTATGAAGCACGCGAACAGGAAATTCAATCTTTAGCTTGACATGAACGCTCACTTGGATCTCTCACTTCATATAATCTTACGCGCTACAAAACAGTCCATTCAGAAAACGATTCGCAAAAATTACAACGGCGTGCGGTAGTAAAGAAACTCACTCTTCGGATGGTAAAACACGAAGAGTACTATTCGGCCGGATATAAGCGAAACAATGACAAATGCAAATATAGGCAGTGCAAACGAGCAAGGAAATATTGCATAAAAACGATAAGAGAAGATAGACTTCAGTATCAGACCAAGCTAGTCGATAAATCTGTCAACAATCTGCAAAGCTTATTCCTTCATGCATCCTCCCTTTTCATTGACAAGATAATCTGTGTTCCTATCTGCATTCATCCGTGATACAGACTGCTTCTTGCGCGTCCACAACAATTACTGTTTGATTCTGTAATTCAGTCTTCAGTAATAATGATTGGAGTTCAATCGACTTATATCAATCCTTGCAGTTTGTAATACTGTGGAGGTCCAATCTCCTTTTTAATATATCAATGGAAGATGCTGATATTACGTGTTCCGTTAGAGAATCCCAGTAATTCAATACTCGGTGCGAGAAACCAAACTCCGGACGTAAACGATTTGATCTCGGTTTTTAAACTTTCTTCGAATGTTCTTTCAATTGATCAGTAAAGTGTAAGACATGTTAATACCAAGGTCATCGTTCAGTATATGATAAACCAATATTAAATCACAGAAATATTCCGATCTTTTGAAGCAGCCCAATCTTCTCTTGCAATGAGGAGATTTGTGAAGCATGATAGGCTCCTCCAAAAATCATCTTGTTCCCTAGAGTAAACATTATACCCTCCAACATAGTTTATAACTAATATCCGAATGATCTTTTCTATCAGTTTTACAACTGCACTAGTAAAGCTAACGGGCCCACATTTACTTACTAAATCCCTACCCTCAGCTTTATACACCGAACTTATCATAGCGTCTTTCCAGTCTCTGTGCAGTCCGGACTGCATGAGAGACATGTCAAACAGTATCGATAATGGTTCACCAATCACATTTGATATAGCTTCCATAATCATAGGATGGAAATCATCAGGAACACTGGACTTATCAGGTTTGAGATGTTGAAGTAGCCTTAAAACAGTATCTTTCTCAATGACTACAGAATCCATCAGCGAGCCGCCGCGATCACAACGAATCGTTGGTCCTTTCTCACTACCGATAGAAGACAGTTTACTAAAATATTCCGTTGAAGCTTCAGCATTTTTGATATCATTTTCTGCCTAGATCAACGGATTTTCTTGTATCAAAAGTGATTAAATTTTATCACTTCTCTGAGTTCGCCTTTTTAAATAAGAGAATAACCGTTTCGGACTATATCTAGAATGCCTAAACAATTGTTTTTCTTATGATTGTCCAGTCCTAACTATTCACGCTTTACAGCAATTCCTAATCTTACAATAACTTGATCCGTATTGTTCTAAGCCAGTGGAGATGAACATATTCCAGTGCTTCTTCCTTTTTCTAAGACGTTTCCTGACTGTTTAAGTTATCCATGGTACCAGGTACCGCTTTCATGGGATTCGCTAGCAGAGGAGTGGATGCTTATATTATTGGCTATATATAACAGGAAGCCACATCTTTTTCCACATTTGTGTCTATCACTGCTGAGGTAATGGTATCCAGATAATTCTGGAGTGGTGTCTAAGTCATGAACCAATCAAGTTTCTGTCACTGCTACAATGAGTGGCTTTAGTCTGTCCACTATTGCTTCTAATTCATGGAACTTATTTCCTAGACCACGAGCGTTGGCATATAAAACTCCTAAGTGAAACGGCCTATCTAAACAAGCCTTAGTAGCATTCGCTTCAAAGAACTGACTATCTAAAAACCCACTGGCCGGAGATTTTCCTTACCATTCTGCCGACGGGTTTCTAGTTCTGCTAGGGCTATTTTACTGACCTGAACTCCTTTAGTCTTCAGTTTTCAGTAATAAGGATAGTAGATTGGTGAACCTGTGCTAATCCTGACAAATTGTCTTCCAGTGAAGGTTCAGTTTCTTCTTGAAAATATTCGCTAATGTGGCTGATACCACTTGTTTCGGTAAGGCGTTCCAATCATTGAATACTGGATGAGAAAAACGGAACCACACTTTAAGTTTAATAGATCGCGGTTTATGTACCTTCTTGCTATGACCTCGGTAATATTAGTGCTGGAGAGAGGAAAAAGATGAGACATATTGACAGCTAAATCCCAATTAAAGATACAAAATATCAGTATGAAGTCACCTAACGTCCCAAGATACGACAAGGTGAAACGTTTAAGGAGTTTTAAACGCTCATCTTAAGGGAGTATAGAAAATCCCTTCACTAATTTCGGCCCAGCTGCCTGGATACAGTATTCTAAATGTGTTAATATAATATATTTCTGCATGTGCAGGTACACACCGTTTTTACAGGCATGATCTATAAATTACAACATTTGTTGGTTCACAAAATGTTTCCCAACTTATTAAGTTTATAGTTGTTATAAAGATAAATCGTAGAGCGCTTGCTGTAAACTATGACCTTGAGAGGACGCGTACATCAAGTTTGTGCCAAACGTCAGAAGTTTCATAGCTGTGCTCTCAGAGCAAGATTCTGAAGAAAAAAGAGAAACAGAAGAGCACCAAGACACTTGGATATGAACGCTAAACGTTGCTTAACATAGTGTAGTAGAACGGACAGAGGTATAATAAATTAGAATAAATTCATATTATGTCTTGTTAGTGAAATGAAGTCAGAGGCTCCATATTATAGAATGTACTAATAAAGAACAATGAGTTGTGATGTTTAACAAGTTGGAGTAAGCTCACATGAAGGAAAGGAAGTCAAGGCTGTTACTAGGAAAGCGGTCTATCAGAAGGGTGTGTATATAGAGGGTGAAGTGTTAAGAATATTAATGACTACATCTTTTATTGTCTAACTTTTTTTTCTTTTTTTGTTTTTCCGATGCTAGCCACACAATCCTAGTGTAAAAATCCGAGTCAGCATTTTATGGGTTGTCTTAGTAGAATAGCTAATCCAGCATAATATTGGAAACATGGGTTTGAGTGGTGAGCGTAGGAAAACAATCTATATCACAGATTGATTGAATTATTCTCAGTCATGAGGAGCCTGATACATACAAAATGTTCTGTCCCCACAAACATGGGTGGATTGAAGTTATCGCCCTCACCATCAATGCTTGCTGGTCAGTAACTCCACCCTCCCTCCTTTTGTGATGTTAGGCTCATTTAGCATTATTTTTGTATATACGTCATACCTCGCACAATCCTCTGTTTCACAAACTGTTGGAAAGCACTATTTCTGTAAGTACCATTTTACAAGCTTATCAGACAGTTACAAGCTATGGACTGTGGGTAAAGCATCGATGCAGTGCCTCTGTTGACTATAATATAAAGTATAGTTTGCCAATCAGAGTATAAGCGTTAAGAAGGGTATATTGTAGGATAGTTGTTTATTTAAGCAGGCGGAAAAAGTATAGAAGTATATGAGTTGTGGATATGGGAACGAGTGGAGAAATAATATTAATTGCTAGTCAACATAGTGTACTGAAGAGTAAAAAGTTAATACAGGATAAACAGGATGGGACTCACAGTAACTTGGTGCTGATGTTATTTTCTGTTGTCCTAACCAGTTGATTGATAACAGGCTCCATAGATGCAAGACCACTAGTAGTAGGCAGCCGATTGTGCGGTCCTCTTGACGTTTTAGGGTGGTAGTGAGTGTCCCTTATCGACCGAGTTTATTTTAACAGTAATGATAGGTCCATTGAGTTACCTGTCTACTTCAAGTGAAGAAATGGGGTGGAAAAAGTAATTAATACAACTGCAAAGTAGGAAAAATAAGGTAAACTGAACTTGAAGTCCATTTTGGTCTAGACATGGAGAGAGCCTATGATGTCTGAGTGGGGCGCATATGTGTTCGTACGTGCAAGATCAGTGCAAGTGAGGGCTTGATCAAGCAGTTTCACAAACGTATGTAATTCATCTGCCATGCGAGTTTCGGAGGGAAGACTGTTCCATATTATTGCATACTTGGTGAGGAAGAAGTTTTCCCGAGTTTTTGATCTGTATTTCTCAACTTTGACCGTAGATACTTTGTTTCGAAGTCCGTATTCATGTGAATCTCGGGCAAGAATTATCTTACACGTTGAATAAGTAAGGTTTTTGAGTAGTTTGAAGTAGAGAATCAAATTAGACCTAAGCCTTCTCTTCCAAAGGGGTGCTATTCCTAAGATTTGGCATCGGGAACTGTAGTCAATGACCAAGTCAGTCTTAAGTACCTTGCGAGTGAAGTCTCGTTGTATTCCTTCCACCTTTAGTATATAAGATACGCGTAGGTTGGAAAATAAGAACGAGCAGTATTCAGCGATAGGTCTTACACAAACTTTGTAAAGAAGGATTTTAGATTCATTTTGATAGAAATTACGGAGAATGAAGCCAAGCAATTTCCGCATTTTGGATGCTTTGGCTGAGATGTGTTCAGAGAAATTAGGACTGTGTGAGTAGTGTACCCCTAGGTCAGTTACTGATGCCAGTCTGGGCAGTGTGTGATTGCTAAGTGTTAGTTTCGTTTTGAGAGATGTGTCTCCTATACATAACCAGCCGCATTTCTCTGTGTTGAGCTCTAACCTCCAGCGTTTGCACCAGTCGTTTACCATGTTGAGTTCACGTTGGATTGTTTCCATAGTACTGCGTAAATCGGAAATGTCAGTTTTATAGATGACTTTTAAGTCATCGGCATAGAGGTAGGTCTTACCTGTGCTAAAACACTTGCATATATTGTTGATGTAGATTATAAAGTGCAATGGACCCAAGACACTACCCTGCACAACACCACTGGTTATAGGTCGAGGTGTAGATGTATTAGAGTTAATCTTGGTTATTTGATATCTGTTCGTAAGAAAAGACTTGATCCATTGCAAAAGGGGATTTATAATTCCAACTGACTTAAGTCTGTTGATTAGAAGATTATGAGGTACCTTATCAAAGGCTTTCTTAATGTCGAAGTATAGTATAATAACTAGTTTCTTCTGGTCACGTATACGAGTAACCTCGTTGAAGAATTCTATCAGGCATGTACTGCACGACCTTGTTCTAATGAAGCCATGTTGTGACGGGTCTATCAGATCTTCCTTGAGCAGGTGATCAGATAGTTGATTTTGTATCACTTTTTCCATTATGCGTGATATGACTGGAGTGATATTTATAGGTCTGTAGTTTTCAACCAGGTTTCTTGGTCCGGATTTGTGTTTGGGAAGAACATACGTTACCTTCCAGGTTTCCGGATATGTACCTGTCTCTAAAGATAATGTGTACATTTTGAGTAGTAGCGTCTGTATGTCCGGTCCTGACATTTTATAAACGATTGAAGGGATGTCATCGGCACCAGAACTCGCATTTGACTTAAGGTTTTTAATGGCGGTATGTATACTCCTAATGTCGAAGTTTATGGTACTAAGATCGTTTTTGCCGGTGCACTTTATGTCGATGTCTGGAGCATCAGATGTATTCCCATTGTGAGAAAACCATTCACTTAATAGTTCACATATGACGCTTTGGTCATTATACGTTACTCCATCGTGCAGTAAGGAGTGAATGGTGTGGTCTGTGTTCTTTCTTATGCGCTTCGTGAGGAGACGACATAGGGCTTGGGCTTTAGATGCAGCAGTGAGATATAAAATTCGAAACATTTCCTTGTCAAAATATTTGAACACTCGGCGAAGTGACCATGCCGCACGAAAATCTTTGACAGCGGCTGCGTTGCGATGCGTAGTTGTTTTCAAGTCATGACTTATTATTACTCCCAATTCTTCACGTTCTTGAACGCATGGAGGAGGTTTACCATCAATAGTATCATGGTAACTATTACCGTGACCGATGTGCATTAGCACACTTTTCCTAGGATTGATTTCTAAGCCCCAACCTTGAGCCCATCTAATCAAATCGTCTAAGTCAGCTTGAAGATCCAGATGATCTGTCTCACGTTTTATTGTTTTCAAGATCTTTAGGTCATCCGCAAATAATAATGTCGACGACCTAAGAAACGGCGGTAACTCATCAACGTAGAGAAGGAAGAGCAGAGGGCCTGAGATGGAACCTTGGGTACAACACCTTTGACCGGCTTCCAATCGGATAGCGTCCCATTGACCCTCAGTCTCTGTCCGCGGTCACACAAGAAGTTTCCTATCCACTCGCGTGCAGCACCTATTATTCCAGAGCTCGTGAGCTTCTGCATAAGACCTACGTGTGAAACCTTGTCAAATGCTTTGCTAAAATCTAGGAATATCACATCAATAGACAGGCCTTTATCTAAGGCTGCTATCCATTCCTCTCTCGCAATAAGCAAGTTAGTTAAGCATGAACGCCTGTTACGAAGTCCATGTTGCTCAGTAGCTAACAGATTGTGTGAATCTACTTGGCTTGGCAAACTAACCCAAATTATCTTTTCAAGCAACTTAACGACAATGCTAGTTAGACTGACAGGCCGGTAGTTAGATACGATCTGTCTCTGACCATCCTCAAATATAGGGCTGATTAAATCAAAACACTAGTAAAGAGAAACTCCTAGACCAATTCAACAGTGTTCTTCCAGCGATCACTTTCACTGGTGAAAGCGAGCATGGTAAGAAGCTGAACTTCCTTGACGTCACATTAAGCAGACGAAGTGACGACACACTAAGTAGAAGCGTGTATAGAAGAAACCCCTCTTCATGCCAATATACTCACTTCTGCAGTTTCACACCCATCCGCTACAAGAGAAATTTGGTCAGATGTCTCACTAACAGAGCAAAAAAGATCTGTACAGTAGACACTCTAAGTCAGGAGCTTGAATTTATCAACAACTCACTGACCGAGATCGGCTACCCCAGCGCGTTCATTAGGAAGTACATGCACGATATAATAAAAAAGTCGAAGATTTCGACTATTTGTAAGAAACCTTTATACATGAAAGTGCAATTCAACGGTGATGTGGCTAGTGACACTCTGAAATATAGATTAACCAAAGTAATCACCAGGACATTCTACGCAGCCAATCTGGCGTTGACCTTCTCTTGTCGACCAGCGATGTCTACTCAAACGAAGGATAAGTTACCTGAGTTGGCCTCTTCCATGTGCATTTACAAATTCAGCTGCTCTTGTGGAGATAGCTATATAGGGCGTACTACCAGGCAACTTAACCAACGAATGAGTGAACATCTATCAACTTGGTACATAAAGGGCCAGAGAAAATCTATTCGGAGTTCTATATTGGCACATCTTATTGATAGCGGTCGTGCAGTAGATAAATCGAAATCTTTTCGAGTTATCTATCGTATACCTCCATCATTTCCCGACGGAGTCCGTTTCCGTCTCCTATATATAGCTGAAGCCATTGGAATTCGTACATATAACCCCAATTTATGTGTACAGAAGAAATACGTGACCCCCCTATCCCTTCCATGGCCAGTTATAACTTAACTATCAATTCTTTTTATTTATTTATTTTATTATTATCATTATTCATTTTATTTTATTTGTGTTATCATTAACCTTATTTCCACATCCATTATTTATTTGTAATTTTCCGCCTCTTTATATTCTTCACTATCTAATTATTTACATACATCTTATTACGTAATGATTTTAATGTTTTGGTGTTGACTATTCCTAGTCTATTGACCCATGTTTATTTGACCTTCTATTTCCAACGATTAACTATCGATAAGAGTTTTGTTATTGTATTTTATTATTCTCACTATTATCAGTTCACCTGTCTTCCTACTATCAACTTGTACTTTTACCTATTATGTGTAGTGACTTATTCTATTTCATTGGGATTATTAACTCATATTGCCTTGATTGGTTTAAAATTTTCATATAAATATTCATGTATATTAGAGTAAAGCCTGATGACGATCTAATTGAAAACAATTGTTCGCTTATATATGTTGTTCGTTAAAATAGTTTGAAAAACGTTTCAGCTTATGCCTGATCTGATTCAGCTAGTAAATCTGAATTTTCGTGTAACAATAACGGGGGAATACCATCACTACGTTTCATTTGCCGTTCAACGTACGAAAACAATCGTTTTGGACAAGTGCGGCTTGCATATAGTAACTGTCGTTCGTAAGTAATACGAGATTTAGCTATGGTTTTCTTACAGATATTACGGAACTTTTTATTCTCACGCTTAAATAGTGCATGACTTGTCAACAAGAATAAGTCTCAGAAGTGTTTCCTACGCTTTAACAGCTTCCGGGTTTCCTTATTGATCCATGGAGGGCAATAAGATAGCTTACGCGCTGACCATGGGATAAACAGTGACGTTACGGACACGAATGTAGCCTTAAACTTATTCCATTCGTCTTCGATCGATCCGTCCGGGTCGACCGACCTTCAGAGTTATCTGGTAAGATACTACGGATATATTCTTCCAGCTTCTCTAAATCATGCGCGTGTCTAATTTCGGGGTCAGGGTCGTTTGACTACAGCGATTCGCTCACAAATAATTCTTCCGCTCAGTCACGCCAGGGCGGGTGTCACTCTTACTCTCAGAATTCTGTAGTACATTTTGTGACTCACAATGGGAGTCCACCAGTGACTTGTCAACCACCTGCGTACTGTCCACAGCTTTTTTCGTTTCGTTTTCTCCGGATTGTAGTTCATTTTTCATTCCTCAGGACATCGTGATTATTTGGAGCGATGACGATTTTATCCAGATCTTCATTTTCCACTAGAGACACATGGTTACCAATGTCAGTGTCAGGTTGTACTACCCTCTCGTTAATGTTAACGGAGATCTCACCTTTCCGTCAGTCAAAGTCGTTTGTTTAAGTCGTCTCGTAACAGCAAGTACTACACTGGCACATTCGTCACTGTCAGTGCTCGTGTTATCAGCGTTTTTTGTTTCATAAACATAGATATTCATTTGGAAGAATTAGTACTGAGCTTCTACAGGAAACACTATTACCTGGAATAAAAGCTCACAGTATTCCGTTTATAAATATCTAAGGCTTAAACACGAGAGCACGAAACGCCTTGGTAATTGCAATGAAGAGCGTCATTCATCTGATTTCACCATGCCAAATTAAAGAACCGACTCGATTCACCCTTCGTGTATCTGGAAGCCCTGATTCTGCTTCCTGTGGCCTCGCCGGCGTAGGTATAGCATTGAGTCCTAGGGCAGAACTAACTCTCTTAGAGTGGATCCCAGTAGACAGTCCTTTGTGCGCTGTCCGACGAAACGGGACAATAAGGACTCGGAAAGATAGAGACACTCGTCGTTGCCTCTTCGTCTTCCCTGCCTATTCTCCCACTGACTGCAGCTCAGATTATGTAAAAGATGAGTTTTACGGAAAGCTCTCCAACCTTCTCCGAAAAGCTAGGCGCTCTGATGTAATATTATTGTCAGCGCGTATCTGTCTGCGTCTTACTGGACGTAGGAAAGGCGATGCAAGGAAACCTCTTAGGGGCCTACTTAATGATAATCAAGCTAAGAGTACATTTCAGGAACAACTAGAAAAACAGTTATGCAGCCATGTATGTGATGCCCAGCCCGATGCAGCATGGAATGATATCCGAAAAGCTGTGGAAACAGCAGTGATATCTGCTAGTACGGTAAACCGTAAGGTTAAGGAACGACACTGGATCTCAGCAGCAACTATCGCACTGATAGATGCTCCTAAACTCATTCCACCTGGCTCTGAACATAGTGAAGAGCGGAGTCAGCTTAAGAGCAAGCTGACCAAAAGTCTACGCAATGATAGCGAACAGTGGTGGTTAGCGAAAGCAAGAGAGATGGAAAAGGCAGCGGCAATAGGTAATAGCAGACAATTGTTCAGACTCGTTAAGGAAACCGGGATTAGGAACACTTCAAGGATCAGTTCAACTGGCCTTCAGCCACACTTCGGTTTCCCACAATCTCTAGTCAACCTGAATGGCAAGTTAATGTAAGTCCTCCGTCCCTTTACGAAGTTGAAAAAGCCATAGGAAATCTGGAACGAGGGAGAGCAGCAGGCCCTGACAGATTTACTCCTGAGATTTTTAAGGATGGTAGTCCAGTATTAGCAATGAGATTAACCGAGGTCTTAGGTAGAATTTGGGAACTGGACGTAATCCCATCTGACTGGTCTCAATCACTGATTGTGCCAGTCTATAAGAAAGGACAAAAGTCCTCTTGTGACAATCACGGAGGAATCAGTTTGACTAATATAGTGTCTAAAATATTAGCTTCAATAATACTTCGACGCCTAATCAAAGCTCGTGAAGAACAGATTAGAGAAAGCCAGGCCGGTTTTCGACCTAGACGTGGTTGTATAGATCAGATATTCACACTACGTCAGGTTCTAGAACACAGGCACACGTTTAGACGCCCCACAATGGTAGTATTTCTCGACCTTAAGACGGCATTCGACTCTGTTGATCGTAAGGTTCTATGTCAGTGTTTGTCACTGAAAGGAGTACCAAAGAAGTACATTAACCTTATACAGGCTCTCTACTCGAACACAACTGGTCGAGTGAGAGCTTATGGCGAACTGTCATCAGAAGTGATAACCTCAAGTGGTGTTCGTCAGGGCTGTCCACTCTCTCCATTCTTGTTTAACTTTGTCGTTGACGTACTTTTAGAGATAACACTCTCCTCATCTAAATTTACAGGGGTTGAACTTCTCCCTGGAGGTTCACTTGTTGACTTAGAATATTCCGATGACATAATTTTATTTGGTGAAGACGCTGACAAAATGCAGAGTCTTCTGACCACTCTAAGCAACAATGCAAGCATGTTCGGGATGCGTTTCTCTCCCTCGAAATACAAAATGTTGCTTCAGGATTGGGTCGCATCGACACCCGAACTAATGATAGGAAGTGAAGTAATTGTGAGTGTCGATCGCTTCACTTATCTTGGAAGTCTCATCAGCCCTTGTGGTCTGGTGTGTGACGAAATCTCAGCACGGATACAGAAGGCTCGACTAGCTTTTGCTAACTTGCGTCATTTATGGCGTAGGCGACATATCCGTGTATCAACCAAAGGACGGGTTTACTGCGCTGCAGTTCGTTCCGTCCTGCTTTATGGCAGTGAAACGTGACCGGTAAGTGTAGAGGATATTCGTAGATTACTAGCATTCGACCGTAGATGTCTTCGAAACATTGCTCGTATATCCTGGGATCATCGAGTAAGTAACATAGTTGTTAAGAAACCGGTAACATCTCCAAACAGTAATCATCCCGATTACTGCTTATACTCTTATTACCTGTACCACTACGGGATTTGAATCGACCACTGCATCTCTGTGCTAATGTGGTGTAGTAACTCGAACTCGATGTCCGTATGTACAAAGTTCTACGTAGTTACTGACTGACTGAATTTCGTCAGCATACTAAACTTTGAAATGGAACAAGCTTTTACATTCTATTTCTTTAGTTTTGAGTTGTCTTATTCAGTATTTTCATCAATGAAGAAACATTTCTATCGTTCCGTAGTCAATCATTTTGAAATATTTACCTCTAATATATTTGATGTTATTAAATTTTGATGAGCATGTCTTTATCATACAGCCGAACTGTTTTGATTACAGTGATATCGATGATTTTGGCGGAAAATTACCCCAATATTGGTTCTCAATTGATCAGTCATTATCCAATAAAGATAGTCCCAATCATGTTTCAGATTCCGATCATCTATCAACTAACATTGGCTCAAAAATAAGAGTAGCTACAGGATTTCAAGTTCGTAGTCGTCGGTCAGCTACAAGTAGCCTTATGAGAACTGGTCAAAGTGTTTCTGAAACAGCTACTTCTAGTTCAGATAGTCAATTTGCAGGAAATTTTCAACCTAAAGATAATTTGAAATTGAAGAAAATCAATACAGATACCAGTTTAATAAGACGTGGCAGTAAATCAGAGGATATAGGACAGACTGATGAAGAATCAATCAATGATATTACTACAAATTTGAGTCTTAGTGGGAAACAGTTTGAAAATGGAAAGTTTTCAGTAAGTGTATGATTTAACCTCTCTCTCTCTCTCTCGAAACTACCGATCAATCGTTTTTGAAATTATTTCGTATCATTATTATTTATGTTAAGTGTACTTCAGAATGTCCTTTGGAATATCAACAATTTGTTGAATTTTTGAACGAATGATCTCATATATTGTTTCGTTTAAAATGAATCATCAAAGTCGTTGTATTTGTATTTTATCTTTCTCATATTTGTCAGTAAGTTATATCTACAATGATTCCTGAAAATGTATGGTTTATATGCAAATAAGTTTGATGTTATCCTGTCATAGACTCATGTAGTAGACCTAACTGTGATACTATTGTTATCTAAAACTTTTAAAGTTGAGTATCCATCATACGGTGGCGTAATTCATTTGCACAAAAATTCAACTTTTAAGTAAGGAATTATGAAATTCAATACACTGCTCTTATGGTGATTGAATCAGACTAACAGTATTGTTATCTCATAAGTTCATAGATGATCATGTATACTACGTTGAAAATACAACGTTTGCTGTTCAATTGCTTCGATTCTATTTGCACAATTAATTGTAATGCTGAAACTTGTCAATCTGTGAATGGTAACCCATTTCATGATTTATAATCCAAAGAATTAAATCACCTTAGGAAATGACTATTGTGACACACTACGGTATATCATAAAATTTTACTAGAAAAGTTGTTAGGAACGGGAACTTCAAGACATATTGCCACCGATTTTAACCTGTAAGAGATGGTTGAAGTAGACCTGTCTATAATTAGTTTTGGTACTATTTGCATTTTTCATCACTTCTTACAATTACTGTTATCGCCTGTAAAATTGTCGTTTAAAATGCATAACCTTTGACCTTCCATCGTGGTTTGTAAACAAACATAACATGAACCATTGGTCATCGCTCACAAATACTCTGCTGCACAAATGGGCTGTGTCTAGTTTCTGGACAGATCAATCTGTCCATTCTTCTTAAACCAAATTTTAAACTTGTTACTTACTTATTGGTTTGTTTATTCTGACTGTTTTCAGATGAGCGCATATGTGTTGACTGCTTATCCCATTCACCATATGCTTGTAACTTGTTTCTGATCTGACTATATAAATATTGAATAACGCTTGATCAAATTGAGTTGGCTCACATGCCTTCTCCACCGCAGGTCATTTCGCTTCGTTTCTCTTACTGTCTGTTCCGATCAACGGTTGTGCGAATTATACGCATTCAAGCTAGGTCTAAGAAGAACCTTATACACTCCATGCACTTGATGAGTCAACTCAACGGATCATGCTCAACTGATAACCTTATCGTTGATATCATTATACCGCTACTAAAGTGGTAAGCTCGAGTTCGAACTAATCAGCTGTCTTTGTCGACTAGCAGCTTAAACAACTCAATCTTTCATCCAACACATTCAGCGAAGCCATTAAAGCAGCGACATGGACATGCTCGAATCACATTATCTTATAGACATTTTGTCTTCGTAGCAACTGTGCTCATTGACCTATTTGGCGGATCGTTACATTATGAATACAATAATTATCATGGTCTCATTATCACATTAATGTCATATTATTGCTGACCGGTGATATTCAATCATAACATTTACTTAATTATATCACTCACTCATCAAATCAAAGTTTTGTGAACCATCCCCCGTATCCATCAACCCATTTAAAGCGCCGAACAAACATTCTTTTCTCATCCTTTCAATTTCGTAAACAACACCCATGGTGCGAGAAGGCAGTGAGTGAGTAGAACGTCCCTATCAGTGATTGTATGCACTTAGATATGTGAGAGTAATTTTCGACCGACAGCTAATTAACTCTTCTCATCTTCAGTCGTATCAGGGTATTTGATGAAGGCAATAAAACAACGTATACACATTCAAATGTCATTCATTCATATTCATTATTTCGTATCATTTATTCATCTTATTACATTGACTCTTAACCAAATTGTATTTGGATTTCATATTTATGTGCTGAATTATCCGTAATTTACCGATATTCATTATTATTTCTACGTCATTGTCCCTACTTATTTCGAACAACATAAATACCTATTTGTTTATATATTTCAAATGCAATAGAAATCATTAACATGAGATTAAGTTATAAATGCCTAATTGATTATAGAAGAATGTAGATAATTAGGGTAATAAAAATGAAAAATAGATATGACAATCTAATTGGAAAATAATGTTCCACAGTACACATAGAGAGGAATATTGAAAGAGGAAATAGTAAACATACATTCTATTGGTTGACAATAATGAGAACTTTTAATGTTACATAAATGTGTGTATACAAGCAAGGGGATAGTTTGTTTTTTTCTTTTCCTTTAATGAATGCCATTTAAAGGTTAACACAGTAAGAAAAAACAGTCAACTACATTAGCATTATCATTATGATCATAATCACCATTGTGTCATGTCATGAAAAAAATAAACAAACGACGAAATGAACAACACTAAGATGTTAACGATAGAAAATAAGAAAAAGAATGAAACCATAGAAACAAGATATTTACGTATTTGAAAAATGTTAACATAATGATTAGAAGAGGTTTATACGAAGTGATTCAGTCAGTCAGCTACAACATAGTTAAGTCAGTGGTGATCATATATGAAAGAAAGATTGTGCATAAGGATATAGCATAGCAATAAACAATTAGTCCGTAGAAAGAAAGATATAAAGCAATTTTAATCTCACAGCTTGAAGGAAGGCAAAGTGTGTATACACTTACGCCATTGTGATCGATTTTCAGCCATGTCACACAGTCTTCAACCATTGGTTACGATAGTCACACGGACAACGATCAAGTACTCTGCATCTACAAACATGACTAACACTACAAGTTACTGACTTCAAACACTGATGCCAGGTTTTACTTTGGCCACCCTTAACTTTCTCCCAACCGTCTCTAACACCAGTCAGCATTGCGCGTCGCGGTAATCGGTGTTCAGGTATACGCAAAACATGGCCCAACCACCTCAGTCGATGCAGATTCACAACCTCATCAACTCATTTACCATTATTCTCTAATACCCTGCATCTAACCTCACTATTACTTACCCGGTGATCTCAGTAGATGCGAGCAATATTTATAAGACATATGTGGTCAGATATTAGTAGCTTACGAATATCTTCTACTCTTCATGATGACCACGATTCGCAGCCGTAGAGTAAAACAGGATGAACTGCCGCGCAGTATACTCGTCCCTTAATTGGTAGACAGATATCTCGCCTTCGACATAGGTGACGCAAATCGGCAAAAGCCAAACGAGCCTGTTGAATCAGTGCAGAGATTTTGTCAGACACCGACCCATTAGCGCGCGCTTCTAAAACTGGACATAGAAACTTCTTATGTTTGATTAGATGAATTTGCCAATAACTATTCAATTCAACTATCTACAATTTCTCACAGTCTCCAGTAGACCTGAAGGGCAAGTTGATGTAAGCTACTGCCCCGACGTGCAATGTTTTATGGTGTAGGAGTAGATTGGAAGAAATCTAGAGACAGTCTGACCAAAACATGGCACAAATCCATGAGGCCACTACTGAAAAGTGGACTGAGCCCTGTTAGTAAGTGTAGACTACCTGGTTGGAATCTGCGAGACGATAACAACTGATGGTTAGAGACTTTGAATGACATGGCTCAAAATCGTTTGAGCAGGTGCATACACTCTTTGTGTTCTCCCAAATCCTAATCCTCTGAATTCTTCATGTCCCTTTCTTTTTTTTCTCTTTCCAAATTTCACTGGATTATACTCATTAAATAACATCTTCAAACCCTAATCTTTCCGATTACTGCTTATAATTTTACTACCTCTACCACTGTGGGATTTGAATCGACAATTGTATCTGTGTGCAAATGTGATATGGCAACTCGAAATAGAAAGTAGAAATAGCAAATTAATTTAAAATACTAACAATGAGAAAATTATCGACAGGGACGAAAGACACAATAATTTAAAGTACTTATTAATTGTAGATTTACGTTAGCAGGATCAAGCCACTTTTATTTTATATTTATTTTATTTGAACACATAGATATTGGTACAAGGAGGCACCGAATACATATGCGTCACACAGATCTCATTTGATTTGTGTGAGAGCTGTGATACTGCCCGGATGCCTAGACGGGAATAGGTGGTTTACTTAGAGGGCCACACTCAGAGCCTTTGACTTAAAGGCAGTGAAACAACGTAAGGAGATGCAGTCCCATGATAGCCGGTGACCAACGATTGGTTCATACGACATTTGTTCTCTCAGGATACTGGAGACCATGTGCACCATTGGTTTGGAATTGTGGTTTTCCAACTCCTCTAGATGGACTCTCAATATCCACAAACCCGGTTCAAGCGCCGGATATTCGCTTTTCGTCTTCGCGATTTCGTAAACAACACCCATGGTGCGAGAAGGAAGTGAGTAGAACTTCCCTGGCAGAGGCTATATACGTGTGGCCATGTCAGAGCATTTCGAGTGGGTGAGCGGACTCTCCTCATCCTCGGCCGTACCAGGGAATTTGGGGGCCACACCTTAAGTACGAGGACTACTGACATATCAACCAGTTATACAAACTGAATTCAGTAGACAAGGGATATCAATGCTTAATTTGTTGAATGAAAGTCAAAGATTATGACTAGTAAACCACTGACTAATAGAAGCATAAATCTATAACTAGTGTGGATCCCAGTCAGCTTATAAATATACCACATCATTCATTCGATTGTATTAAAACAGGAGTGAAATGAAAGAAAACGAAAGGATATAATGAGAAAACACCTACATGAAAGAAAGTTGATGTGATAATAACCATGTAATAAATTAATATTCCCGATGAAAAATCGTATTCATAAGTGTAACACAAACCAATCATCATATGCTCAAACACGACAATCGATCAATTTAATCTTAGTTTTGTGGATTTAAACGAGGAAGTAATAGATAGAAAGCAAGAAAACGAGTAGATAGAGGACATCTTTCAAAATACATAATCAGACAGATAGAAATAAGCCAAGATGGATTAGTAAAAGTGTGCAGTAATAATAATCGATTCTTTCTTTACATGAATCAGGTCAAGGTGAATTATTCATTAAAAAGAAAATTGATTATCTGCAAGGAAAGTGAATATTGATAAATAAGACAAAATACATCAGGCCACAGTTTCCAGTGACATACATTCTGTACAGTAGAAATAGTTACATTGATTGAATCAAAACACAATTTAGGAAGATCTCTTAGTAATATATATTAGCCTAAGAAGTCGTGATATACACACCATATCAACACACAACAAGTGAACATAAATGAGAGCTATTAAAATATTAACCCCTATGAGTGTATATTTCAAAATGAAATAACTGAAATACGATATGAAAAACAATCAGTTAAAGGCAAGGTGAAATGTGTTCGCGATCCATAGAACTAACCGATGATGGTGAACAACATGGTAAGAAAATACCATTAATTTACGCATACCGTTGAAATATCAGTCGCTAGAAGAAATATAATTCAAATTGTTGATCAAATGATTCTCCCTATAACAGGTAAATCTGCATTGCCTACATGATAAGTGTCATAAATTAAGTCAGTTACAAAGTACGACCAGGCATATATATGCATCGGTCCAAGTCGTCATCCCTCCCTCTATAGCACAACAACAACATGAACACCGGATTCATAGAAGCATTTAACTCAATGGTGTAATATAGAAAAGAAAGAGTTTATATAAGGATATATACAGGATATAGTACAGAAGGCAAAAATTAGTTCGTAGAAACATAGATATGAAGCGATTTTAATCTCAAAGTTTAAGCGAAGATCGAGTGTATACACCACCTACACCATTCAGACCGTGTCATCAATTACCTAAATGTGTTTTACAAACTCATCCCAAGATTATTTCAACTACAAACTCATCAATTTTGATTGGACCTTGAGGAAATCTAAAGCTGTAAATCTATCAGAATATTATAGGTAGTGAATTAATACCTATGATACTGATAACATAAACAAACATTTCAGAGAATACTGAAAAAAACACCTCTTAAATCAATGGAAAATTCTTTTTCATGTATCCAAGAAGGATACTTAACTAGTAAGCTGAATATGCAACATGACTTAAATACTAAACAATATATTGGAAAAGGACACACAGAGTCTATCTAGGAGAGCTATAAAACTCTGATTCTAAACTAGTGGTGCATATGGGCTATAGGATCCTCAATGGACAAATATCGTGTGAACCAATCGTTGATCACTGGAACTGCACCTACTGACATTTCTCCACTACCTTGTGGATCAGACCTTTAGGTCGAAGGTTCCAGTTGTGGCCTCCTAAACCACCTGCTTCCGTTTGAGCATCCGGGCAGACATTCAAAAAGAGAATCTAATGTCAGAGCTTAATTATCTAAATGCCATCATCAGTAAAATTTGATCAATTTCATAGGAAATGACATTTGTTTATAACAAACAATAAGAAATGCAAAAGTAAGACAAATAACTTACCATTTTCTGCATATTCCATGACTAGATATACATGACGCTCAGATTCGATCACTTCATATAAGCGAACTAGTTGACAATAAGAAGAATAATCAGAAAATATGGTTAGCAACAATAACGTTAATTTTAAAGACAAAAATATAGTAAGTATCAGTTGAACTCATTTACAGTTAGATACCACTTTCAAAGAGAACGTTCAATATTTATGAAGTATAAATACTGTGCATGGGATCACTAAATCACACGTGTACATCTACACTCATCGACTGATACATAAATAAATATACTAGTAACTCAAACCAATTACATATTGTAAGTAGTTGTGTTTGAGTTTACAAATCATTGATTCCTACCACCAGCAGCATCCCCCTTCACTTATGATTATGCATGTATATACATATTCCTTTCAGTCACATGTATGATGGTGAAGTAAATTCAACAATACAAGTACTATTAAACAATCGTGTTACAACATCATTCTAAACGGTGCTTATTTGTCAAATGTCAAACGAAACAATCATGTATCATATAAACAGTAGATGAAATTCCATACTCCAAAACGTGGCGTCAGTGCTTGAAGACACTAACCTCTAGTCTGAGCCATGTTGGTAGATGCAGACTACTTGGTTATGGTCCGCGTGACTTTCGTAACCAATGGTTCGAGACCCTTGGTGACATGGCTCAGAATCGGTCACAATGGCGTCGGTGTATACACTGCCTGTATTCCTTTAATCTAAGAGATTGAAATCGCTTCATATCTTTCTTTCTACGAACTAATTCTATATTCCGGTACTATATCCTTATATGCAATCTTTCTCCTATATATTACCACCTTTAACCTAACCACTCCCATGAATCCGGTGTTCATCTTGCTGTGCTAACGAGGTATGACAACCTGGACCGATGCATATATGTGCCTGGTCCTACGTTGTAGCTGACTGACTGACTGAGTCTACAGCCACCAACATGACTTAGACCACTTGTCAGTGACTTCATGGACTTGTGCCATGTTTTGGTCTGGCCACCCCTAGCTTTCTTTCAACTTACTCCTATACCACTGAACATCGCACGTCGAGGTAGTCGATCGTTGGGCATACGTAACACGTGTCCCAGACATCTCAACTGATGAAGTTTTACTACTTCATCAATTGATTTGCCATCCCTACCTAGTACCCGTTTCCTAACAACTGTGTTACTTACTCGATGGTCCCATGATACACGAGCAATGTTTCGAAGACACCTATGATCGAATACTAGTAACCTACGAATATCCTCTACCCTTATCGGCTATGTTTCACTGCCATGAAGTAGGACGGGACGTACTGCTGCGCAGTAAACACGTCTATGGTTGATAGCCGCATATCTCGCCTACGCCATAAATGACGCAAGTTGGCAAAAGCTAGTCGAGCCTTCTGTATCCGTGCTGAGATTTCGTCACACATCAGACCACAAGGGCTTATGAGACTTCCAAGATAAATAGAGCAAGAACAAACATTGATGCAGAATAGTATGAATTCATATTATTTCGAGGTTTCTCGTCAGCTGCTTACAAACCAAAATTGTGATAGAATTTTTTACATGGAGATAGTGTGAAAACAATTGACATAAATGAGTGTAAATAACTGGATTACAATAATAACTATATATATATATATATATATATATATATATATATATATATATATATATGCATGCTAGAAACAGGTCTGAGGTCAAAAGAGGGGGGTTAATCCAGGGTGGGTGGTGTAATAATTTAGTGAAGTTCATAAATTGTGTAATAATTGTAGAGATTAATGGAATTAAATAATGATAAAATAGATTACGTAATAATAATAAAATAGAATTTGGAAAGTTAAGATAATTTAAGAGGATTCAGTGAGCGGAAATGTGTGAATAAAATTTATTTTAAAAATTAGGTAATAGGGGGGGAGTATAAAATATCTTAGAATAAGTAAATGAATAAAATAACCAATACACAAAACAAACAGAAACAAAAAGATTACCAGGGTAGTGATAAGTTTATTAAAGTCTCTTTTTGGATGCATAAGTCCGGTTTCAGTTTCTTAATTGCAATGGCTTCAACAAAGCGGAGAGCGGTAGTAGTTCTTTGTCTATTGATAATTTTAAACGCGCGTATAATATCGACGGTATGCCCGGTGTCAAGTAGATGCCGAGCTATTGCACTGTTAAAAGCTTTAGTCCCTCGCAGCGTCAAGTTCTTCGGAATATGTTGAGAAATGCGAACCTGTACTCTTCTCTCAGTTGTTCCAATGTATGTGCTACGGCACGTACATGTGAATTACGTAATCTACCTTATCATTATTTAATTCCATTAATCTCTACAATTATCACACAATTTATGAACTTCACTAAATTATTACACCACCCACCCTGGATTAACCCTCCTCTTTTGACCTCAGACCTGTTTCTAGCATATATATATATATAGTTATTATTGTAATTTAGTTATTTACACACATTTATGTCAATTGTTTTCACACTATCTCCATGTAAAAAATTCTATCACAATTTTGGTTTGTAAGCAGCTGACGAGAAACCTCGAAATAATATGAATTCATACTATTCTGCATCAATGTTTGTTCTTGCTCTATTTAAATTCATAAAGGGAACCAATTGCATGAAACTTCCAAGATAAATGAAGCGGTCGACACACTCAACTACTTCACTCCCTATCACTAGTTCGGGTGTCGATGCGACCCAATCCTGAAGCAACATTTTGCATTTCGAGGGGGAGAATCGCATCCCGAACATGCTTGCATTGTTGCTTAGAGTGGTCAGAAGACTCTGCATTTTGTCAGCGTCTTCACCAAATAAAACTATGTCATCAGCATATTCTAATTCAACAAGTGAACCTCCTGGTAGAAGTTCAACCCCTGGAAATTTAGATGAGGAAAGTGTTACTTCTAAAAGTACGTCAATGACAAAGTTAAACAAGAATAGAGAGAGTGGACAGCCCTGACGAACACCACTTGAGGTAATCAATTCTGATGACAGTTCGCCATAAGCTCTCATTCGACCAGTTGTGTTCGAGTAGAGAGCCTGTATAAGGTTAATGTACTTCTTTGGTACTCCTTTCAGTGACAAACACTGCCATAGAACCTCACGATCAACAGAGTCGAATGCCGCCTTAAGGTCGAGAAATACTACCATTGTGGGGCGTCTAAACGTGTGTCTGTGTTCTAGAACCTGACGTAGTGTGAATATCTGATCTATACAACCATGTCCAGGTCGAAAACCAGCCTGATTTTCTCTAATCTGCTCTTCACGAGCTTTTATTAGGCTTTGTAGTATTATTGAAACTAATATTTTAGACACTATATTAGTCAAACTGATTCCTCTGTGATTGTCACAAGATTAACTTTGTCCTTTCTTATAGACTGGCATAATCAGTGATTGAGACCAGTCAGATGGGATTAGGTCCAGTTCCCAAATTCTACCTAAGACCTCGGTTAATCTCACTGCTAATACTGGACTACCATCCTTAAAAATCTCAGGAGTAAACCTGTCAGGGCCTGCTGCTCTCCCTCGTTCCAGATTTCCTATGGCTTTTCCAACTTCGTAAAGGGACGGAGGACTTACATTAACTTGCCATTCAGGTTGACTAGAGATTGTGGGAAACCGAAGTGTGGCTGAAGGCCAGTTGAACTGATCCCTGAAGTGTTCCTAATCCCGGTTTCCTTAACGAGTCTGAACAATTGTCTGCTATTACCTATTGCCGCTGCCTTTTGCATCTCTCTTGCTTTCGCTACCTACCACTGTTCGCGATCATTGCGTAGACTTTTGGTCAGCTTGCGCTTAAGCTGACTCCGCTCTACATTATGTTCAGAGCCAGGTGGAATGAGTTCCCGAGCATCTATCAGTGCGATAGATGCTGCTGAGATCCAGTGTTGCTCCCTAACCTTCTGGTTTACCTTACTAGCAGATATCACTGCTGTTTCCACAGCTTTTCGGATACCATTCCATGCTGCATCAGGGTGGGCATCACATACATGGCTGCATAACAGTTTTTCTAGTTGTTCCTGAAATGTACTCTTAGCTTGACTATCACTAAGTAGGCCCCTAAGAGGTTTCCTTGCAGCGTCTTTCTTACGTCTAATAAGACACAAGCAAATACGCGCTCGCACCAGAGCATGATCTGAATCTAAGCATGTGCTCCAGGATGAGCGACAGTCTTCTATCGAGCCCCTCCATCGGTGGATGATAGCGATGTGATCTATTTGGGTCCAACGTTGGGACGAATTAGGGGGTCGCCATGTTAAAAGATGTTTTTCCTTATGCTTAGAGTTAGTATTTGCAAGGAACAGGCGATTATCTGAGCATAGCTGCAACAGACGGTCGCCATTATCTGTTCTTTGAGCCACGACACCATAAGATCCACCTAGGTGTCTTTCTCTATGGCTTAGTTTACCTACTTGAGCATTAAAGTCACCGGTCACTATTACTACATCAGAGCGCCTAGCTTATCGGAGAAGGTCGGAAAGCTTTCTGTAAAACTCATCTTTTACATCATCTGAGCTGCAGTCAGTGGGAGAATAGGCAGAAACGACGAAGAGGCAACGACGGGTGTCCCTATCTTTCCGGATTCTTACTGTTCCGTTCAGTCGGACAGCGCACAAACGGCTGTCTACTGGGATCCACTCTAAGAGAGCTAGTTCTGCTCTGGGACTCAATGCTATACCTACGCCGGCGAGGCCACGGGAAGCAGAATCAGGGCTTCCAGATACACGAAGTGTGAATCGAGTCGGTTCTTTATTTTGGCATGGTGAGGTCAAATGAATGACGCTACTCGGATCTTGTATGCGCGTTTCGGAGACGCAGCACACATCGATGGCGCGAGATTCTAAAGTCCTAGCTAAGGAAGCCTGCTGTCCTATTTGGCGCAGTGTTCGGACGTTAAAAGCTCCTACGTGTAGTTTAGAGCGTGGTTTCAGGAGACCAGGAATAGCGTTCCACGTACTCAAATCGTTTGCCCTAGCGGTGCGAGGTGATAGAGACGTGAGGAGGGTTAGTCATGGAGATAAGAGAGGTATTAGGAGGTGTAGGAAGGA